TACCACATCTACTAAGAATATTTTCACCCAGATAAAACTGCAAGTTCCTTCCTAAAGAAATCACTTCGTCTTCGCTGCTACAAAAAAGCAGTTGTGCTGCACTGCCAGCGGCAAGTACTGTTATTAGAGTAGTGAAGAAGAAGTGGTTTCTAGTAGAGGGTTTTATAACGTTTTATCAATTTAACATAAGTTTTTAAAATCTCATGATGTCAAACTTCAGAGAATCTTCGAACCAAACTAGCGCGTGTTCGAATGTAGCAATCGCTTTAGCATTTTAGCCAATAAACATAAGCTACTAGAGCTTGTTTCAAGATGTTAGAATTGTAGTATTTTAGCTAGTAAACATTAGCTACTAAAGATTATTCGAAGGTAACAAACATTCAGGCATTTTATATAGTAAACATTAGCTACTAGCGCTTGTTTGAAAGTAGCAAATATTAAGGCATTTTAGCTTGTAAGCGTTAGCTACAGTTTGTCAGTTAGCATTGTTTGCTGCGTTGCTTTGGTTCTTCGTGTGTGAGGCAGCTCTTATTGGGAATCATTCAAGTGAACATTACATTTGGAAAAGAAATATGTTGCAAGAGGGAACAGACCTGTGGTGAAGAGCGCTGTGTAGAACTGGTTCGCTACGTAAAACGCCAGACAACAAAATGTATTTCGCCGTGTTCACACATCCTGTGAATCAGACTTTGTTGCCATCGTTGTTTCCTTTTAGCTAATGTTTTGTTTTACATATATGTTGTTAACACGTGAAGCTAGATACTAGCAAACAATATAAAGCCATCTCTGTTTAATTGCTTGAAATCCAGTTTGTTTGGTAGTTTTCTTTGCCAAGTAGGAGACAAGTGTATCGAATATGTCAAACAAATTAACATTTTCACAGCCATCAGTTTCGTTAGCTGTTGGGCTATGTTTGTTAGCGAAATTGTGTTTGACGTGAAGCAGCTCACAGTCAGATTTCTGTAATTATGGCAGCGCTCCCATATCGGCCTCGGGCCTCCTCAGGTTTCCTCCGTCTCCGATCCGAGGCTCTATGTTCACTGTAAATCTGGGAATCCTCTCTCGTGGAAGCTGTGCATTTTGTCACAGACAATGTGATAGAAACTATTATTATGCTGGAAGAACATTCTGCTCTGGGCCAAATAGAACATCGGTTCAGTAATAAGACTGTGATTGTTGTGTCATTTTAGTTCTGAACGGCACCAGTGTAGTTTCAGGAGGAAAGTGTCCATCTATCTATATGTATATTTTCCCTCATATTTGTTACTAGAATTTTGACTTCAGACATGCAAAGTAAACTTTTAAAGCTTTCTCACATGCTCATATTTAGAATAATATTAAATCCTCATGTTAGAAAGAACACAAATAATTCAACTGACCTCTTTGGCTAACTCTGCTCTGCTCTTGATAAATGTAATAATGCTGTAAGTCCTGCAGCGCCACGTGTTCACCGGGATAATTTCATTCTCAGTGGTTATTAATCAAGTACTCAGGACAGGCAAGACCAGACAGAACTGTCTCCAAGGCAAAGGCTAAGTCTCTGAGGTGATGGGTTACTTTACTATACTGCAAGTGCGCTGTGAATATGAATATAATACATTCATCTCAGGCACAAAACAGACAGGACAGCCTCCAATATTCACATGTGGTCAAAGTTGTGTCTTTAGGTAAGACACAAGTTTGACTAGGTTTATTATTTTATTATTATTTTCTAGGTTTTGTGATGCTAAAGGGGAAA